TCCTGTTACACCTGAGCCGCCCTGATAGGTCCTGGTGTTCTACACAGACGACGTCCTGGGCTTGCATTGATGCCTCATGTGTTAGGGCGGAGCACAAAGTCGAGGCTCACATCAGTCTCAGGTAGGACTGCGTGATATACCGAGTTTTTAAATATATCGATATAGTCTATGTTACGTTATAACTAGACTTGTGGAGCCGCATGTTTGCCTCGCTTTCGTCCACTTTTGTCTCTACGCTGCGTTACTCGGCCTCGCCTCTCCTTCACTGAACACAACTCCCCCTCCGCCATCGCTTCACCTGCAGGCAGGACGGACACGGCAGCTCTCAAAGAGGAGCTGCTCGGTAAAAAGAAAACATTTGGAGACTATTTTAGTGCTGTCAGCGTGACGTTAACGCCATAACGGCATTAACGGGGCAAATCTCTGTTAACGAGTTACCGCGGATCGCCCCGTACGGGGCTGGACAGCGTTAACGAGCTACTGTTTTATTTTATTCATGGAGCATTATTATTTAATAAGTGCTAATAATTTATTTCTGAGTAATTTTTCCTTGTACATCAGCGCTGTATGTTAATAAAAGTGCCTGTGTGAGATCTGGGACACAGCTTTGACTAAGAACTCTCTCTTTGTTCTCACTTTATGGCTTTAAAAATATTAAGATATTTATCGTATATCGCCATCCAGCTAAAGAATATCGTTAGCTTCATAGCATAAGTGCCTAAGTCATTTTTTTGTGTTTTCGGAAAACAAGACAAAACTAATTTTCTAAATATCACATGCATATTTTTAAATATCACATGCAATTTGACCAAAAAATGACTTAGGCACTTATGCTATGAAGCTAACGATATCGAGATATGAATTTAGGGTCATATCGCCCAGCCCTAGTCTCAGGCAAACTGATGTTTATGTTTATCCTTCATAGGGCTGGGTTTCAAAGATTCATTAAATCCTGAATGATTTCAATATAAATGTATTTTAACGCCAGAATCTCAGGTTAAAGCTCACACAACTATTTCAACAACCACCAAACAGCTAAAACTGTAAACAGGAGCAGACATGCAAACACAGAGCGTGGATCGTCCACAGACGCCGTCGGGCTGA